CAATGAAGTTTAATCTTCAAATGGTTTTTTTTAATTTGATTTGATTTCAATATATAGAATGGATGTTTTGGGTTGATTGTTTGACAAAAATCAAAGAAATTTTGGATGTGTTTAGGGTTATTGTCTAATTCTTTCAAGGTGTAATATTTTTGGTGAATTGGGAATTTGTTCTGATTGTCTAATTTTTACAAGAAATTGAAAGTTGTTTTGATGCACACCAAGCGCTCGGTAAAATACTTCAACTGAATGGTATTTCTTCGTTTATAGTATTCTATCAGAACATAATGTTTTTTTTATGATAATCATGACCATATTCTGTGAGAATTCCCCGAATTAATATAATTATTGGTAAACGAATTCCAATTCTATCATAATGGAATCACGAATTACAATTATGTTGGAATAGAATATGGATATTTTCTCACTAATTTATTCATTGGATTTGTTTCCACAGAATCTGATGTTTGTAGAACGGACCATGAAATTTGAACGACGACTCTTAGCAACATTATTCTTTTAGAATATATTAGTGTATTTGTTAGATTTTGATGTTTTTTTTTTCCAGATTTGAAAGTTTTTTTAGTTTTATTCTTTAACAATAAATGTAATTCTTAGCAATTGTTACGTGTATTCTATAAGAATTAATGTAATTTTTGTTTTAATTCTTCAATTGATGGTTCGAGAATTTTGTTATTCTACAAGAAATTTTAAAGTCATGATCAAGAATATGTTAAGAATATTTTTATTATTTTATGGTTTCAAGAATATTTTTTATTTTGAATATACTCAAACATATTCTGTCAGAATGTCCGAATTAAAAACCTTATAATTCGTAAAATCGGATTTTTAAAATTAATAGAATCTATGATCCTTAGAATATGCAAATTTACTTTATTAAATATATATTAATTGACTAAAATACCCTTCTAGTTAAATTAGATGGTATTTTTCAATTATATTTAATTCAATAATATGTATTAATCACTTTCTTAAAATAAGTAAAATGATTGGCTCACATTTATGCATACAATAACACAATAATTACTTTGAATATAATAACCTAGTCTATATATATATATATATATTATATATAATAATATTATATAGATATATATATTATATATATATATATTATATTATATATATATATGGTTAGGTTCATTTGAAACCACTATATTTTGTGAGACATGAGGTGCAATCTTAGCCATTCATTTTGGAGATATTTTTTTTAAAATGCAAAATAATGGAAATTTTTCGATCTTTTTAAAAATATTATTTTGCCATTTATATTTTCCAAAAAAAAAAATTACCCTTTTTTGGAAATATCTGTGAAATGTTCTAATAGAATATTCTAGTATAAAAATTAGAAAAAAACTGTTAGGATATTCACATATTCTATTAGAATATTTGATTGCAAATATTCAAACAATTTTAATAGAATATTATAATATTCTATAAATTCTAACAATTTTAGTAGAATATTAGAATATTTTAACATATATAACAATTCTAGTAGAATACTAGAATATTTTAACATTCTAAAAATTTCATTTGAATAAATACAGTGTAATATTCTATTAGATTTTTTCACGTATATTTAAAAAAATGGTATTTTTTTTTGGGTAAATAAAACAACGATAATAATAATTAAAAAAAGAATTTTTGGATTTTTCATTTTATTTCGCTTTTTAGATTTTTTTTGATCTCCAAGATGAGTGGTTAGGATCGCGTCCCCATATCTCACAAAATTAACATGGTCTCAAATGAACCATTCTCTCTCTCTCTCTCCTCTATATATATATATATATATATATATATATTATATATATATATAATATATATATAAATCAATTGTGTCATAAATACCATTAAGTATCATAAGTTACAAAAAGTTGAGAGTTGGTGATAACTAGGTAAAAGTGAAGAGATATGGATGTTTCAAATATATATGGTGCAAGAAAAAATATTTCTTTTATAATAGATAGATATAAATATAGATAGATATAGATTTTATTAAGTTTATTTTCACTGCTTTTTTTAGTTTTTAATTATAAACAAAACCCTATTTTTTTTTTATTTTATGCTTTTGACTAGTATGTATCTTACGTAAAAAGACATTGATTTTTAGGTTGTGTCTATGTGGATTTGACCACAGTTTCCTGTGCTATCTTTTAATGCATTCAATAAGTGATATTTTATTTGTTTAGACGTAAACTACGCATTTAACATGGCATGTCACATGTCACCTCATGTGAATTGACATAAATTTTAGTGTTGACGGTGTATATATTTTACTATTTAAATTTTTTGTACATATTTTACCGTTTAAATTTTTCTGTACATATTTTACCATTAATCTTATATAATTTGTTCAAAAATATGTATATTTAAATATAAAGACATATTTTTTACTTAAAGATAAACTGTTATTTTAAAACTATTTTTCGTCTGAATACCAATTGTTGGTCAAAAGATTATACCATACCGGTCTAGATAACATACATCATTGGTTTAATATATTAGATGACAATTTTTTTCGATTAAATACTCTTCACTTTTGCAAATCCAAATGATATGATAATTGTTATTAGAAAACTATAAAGTTTTTTTTTTGTTTTTTTTAAATAATTTTCACTGTATAGCTTTTTTGGAGGTAAAAAAGTATGATTTTCCGACATCCAAATTAGGAGCGTAATATGTGGAAAAACATTGTTACACACAACACAATGAAAAAAAATCTAACTCAAATTGAGTTCGCATACAAAATTGATGAACGGTCAAAGTTGTTTTTTTTTTTTCATATTTTCACCGACCTACTTTGGAACTAAAAAAAATATGATTTCACGACATCCAAATTTGGAGTGTAATATATCTATGGAAGCTTTTGTTAGAAAAAAAACACAATAAAAAAAATTAATTTAAAAAGAATTCTTATAAAAAAATTATAAATGTTTGAAGTTTCCAACAAAACATAAATCAATGGTGGCCCACTTGCAAAATTTATGTCCATTTTGATAATTTTTATTTTCTTAAACTATTTTGTGGTAAAAACATATAAAAATAGCTATCATGATCATTTTCTATTGTAAATTAAAACAAATTTATTAAATTATCATTAATTTATGTTTTATTATCATTTCCCATATACTATTATCTTCTTATAAAATTTTATTATATTATAAGAAGTATTAGTAGTAATAAAAAAATAATTACATATTACTATATATAAATAACAATAAAGAATATTATATTAATATTTTTTCATTCTAAAAAAAACAATATAAATATAATAAAAACCTATCTAGGTATGTAAAATATACGTAGTAGAAATATCCTACCCTCACAAATATTATCCTAAAACATGTAAAATTTACCTAGTAGAAATATCCTATCCTCACACACCATTTGCTAGGATAGACAGCCTAGATTGTATTCTTTGCTTGACCACATGGTAAAGGGTACAACTGTCAATTACCCTTCGTTATCGTGAGACTTTCACAGACCCTGTAGTCTTCTCATTTCTAAATTGTATAACCTAAAAATTCACATACATCTGATTTAATGGAGCGGAGGGACTACAATCGCGGTGGTTACAGCCGTAGTCGTGTCGATCGCTACTATGATGACCCACAAGATGGTGGTAGAGGCGGATATGGTGCCGATCGGTACTATGAAGGCGAACACGATGGTAGTAGAGGCGGATATGGTGGCGACCGGTACTATGGCAGCGCACAAGAGGGTGGTAGAGACATCGGATATGGAGGCGACCGGTACCATGGTAGCCCACAAGAGGGTGGTAGAGACAGCGGATATGGTGGCGACCGGTACCATGGAAGCCCACAAGAGAGTGGTAGAGGCGGCGGATATGGTAGAGACCGGTATCATGGAAGGGCACAAGATGGTGGAAGAGGCGGCGGATATGGTGGCGACCGGTACTATGGAGGCGCACAGGATGGTGGAAGAGGCGGCGGATATGGTGGCGACCGGTACTATAGAGGCACACAAAGGTGGTGGTAGAGGCGGCGGATATGGTGGCGACCGGTATTATGGAGGCGCACAAGATGGCGGTGGAGCTGATGTTGGTTACCTTTCTCGTCGTGGTAGCCGAGATAGAAATTACTCGCATCCTTACAACAATCGACATCAGGAACAGTACGGAGGCAGTAGACGTAGAGAATCTAGCGGCGGAGGAGGTGGTGGTTCGCAGTTGTACAGGAACAGAACTCCTACTTACCATAGGCAGAATACGGATCGTGTACACGATCTTTCTGCTCGCGATAGAGAAATAAGGGCGAGTCCTGTTGAATATAGTCAACCGGTCAGGTCTCGGTCTCCGGCGCCGACGATCACTCAAACTCAGCTCCGCCTCGCCGGTACGTACAGAAAATTTGGGGGTTTTTACATGTGTTGACATTTTTCTAGTTTCTGAAATTACTTCTAGTTAATTATTCACTGTTACAATCGATTGTTTAATTTGTTTTCCTTTCTATGAATATGTTTGGTTCGATCGATATATTTTCAGATCGGATTCAAGAAGTTCACCATCGCGAGGTAGAAGAAGTTCACCATCGCGAGGTACAATGTATACCATCTCCGATGGATGATGAAGAATATGCGTATGTACCCATTAAACGTCCTGACCATGGTAAACTTGCCATGAAATCAGTGAAGCTTCTTGTTAATCATTTCCCTGTGAAGTTCGATCCATCAAAAGCTATATTACGTTATGATGTCGACATTAAACCAGAGATGTCTTCTTCTTCTCGATCTCTGAAAAAACCAATACCAAAATCGGACCTCCGATTGATCCAGGAGCAGTTATGTTCTGATAATCCTAATCAATTCCCCCTACTCCAAACTGCATACGATGGTGAAAAGAACATCTACAGTTCAGTTTCATTACCTGAAGGAACTTACAATGTCCAATTACATGGTCGATCTTACACCTGCAAAATCAAATATGGAACCAAATTAGGTCTTTCAAAGCTTCAAGATTTCTTGAAAGGAAACGCTATACAAATCCCTCGTGATGTATTGCAAGCTCTTGATGTAGTAATGAAAGCAAATCTTTTTCGGGAAAAGGTTCCAGTTGGAAGAGGTTTATACCCACGAGTGCATAGAAAAGAAGATGATCTTCATGGTGGTGTTGCTGCATTCAGAGGCTCACAACAAAGCCTAAAAGTCACTTCAAATGGATTAGTAATGTGTCTTGATTACTCTGCTGTACCTTTTCGTAAAAGAATGCCAGTTTTTGACTTTCTCAAAGAATGCATTCAAGGGATCCGTGAAGTTAATGACATTGAAAGATTTGGGAACCAAGTTATACGCGCATTGAAAGGATTGAAAGTGGGTGTGATTCATCGTAGGACAAATCAAAAGTACACTGTTTGTGGATTGTCTGAAAAAGCTACACGGGATCTTTCTTTTGTTCTTGAAGATCTTGAAGGGAAGAAAGAACCTGAAGTTATCATGCTTACGGATTACTTTAGAGAAAAATGGGGTAAAGAGATAAAACACAAAGGGGTTCCTTGTTTAAATTTGGGAAATAGTAAGAAACCGAATTATGTCCCGATTGAATTCTGTATCTTGTCTGAAGATAAAAGGTTTCCAAAAGAACAATTAGGTAAAGAAGCTGCAAGAAAATTAAAAGAGTTATCTCTTCTCAATCCAAATTGTAGGGAAAGAGAGATACACAACTTGGTTCATGATGAATATGCACCTGGCAAAAACGGGTATGTCTTTTCTTCTTTTTTCCTTTTTCCTTTTTCCTTTTTAATGTTCTTGATGTTTCTTTTATATTTTATACATTATTTTGTAATGTGTAGTGCGAATGCAATCAAGAATTTTGAAGTGGAAGTTGGGATGAACATGACAGAAGTGGATGGACGTGTGATGGCCCCACCACAACTCAAACTCGGTTCTTTAAGTGGAAAAACAATGACAACAACGGTTGATAGAATGAAATGTCATTGGAATCTTCTTCAAGGAAAAACTTTAGTAGTTGGAAAATCAGCAGAAAGATGGGCAGTGATGGATTTCACTCGTGATGATCGAAGAAACAGTTTAAATGTCAACTACTTCATTGGGAAGTTAAAGAACAGATGTGAAAGTATAGGGATACAAATGGAAGAACCAATCATGGTTCATCAAACTACAATGAGAGAGTTTTCAGATGTTAACACACTCAATCGTCTTCTTAAAGAAATCGTGGATGAATGTAGAAGAAGAGACAATAGACGATTACAAATGATTGTTTGTGTAATGGCTGAAAAACACGATGGATACAAATACCTCAAATGGGTATCCGAGACCCAAATCGGTGTCATAACCCAATGTTGTTTATCCTTCAATGCCAACAAAGCAAACGATCAGTTTCTTGCTAATTTAGGAATGAAGATAAACGCAAAATTAGGAGGTAGCAATGTCGAATTAATCGAACGATTCCCGCGTTTCAACGGTTCGGATCATTTCATGTTCATCGGAGCGGACGTAAACCACCCGACCGCCGCCAACCAATCATCGCCATCTGTCGCCGCCGTTGTCGGCTCCGTAAACTGGCCCGCCGCCACCCGTTACGCCGCCCGTGTCTCCCCGCAACACCACCGGAAAGAAGAGATCGTTAACTTCGGGTGCTTGTGTTTGGATCTTGTCAACACTTACGAACACCGGAATGGAATCAGACCAAACCGGATTGTCGTATTCCGTGACGGTGTTAGCGATGGACAGTTCGATATGGTTTTGAATAAAGAAATGGTTGACATGAAGAAATCGCTTTATACCGAAAACTACCGACCCGCGATTACGTTTGTGGTGGCGCAAAAGCGGCATACGACGCGGTTGTTTTTGAACAACGGGAATGGAATCGGGAATGTCCCACCGGGGACAGTTGTCGACACGACAATTGTTCAACCTTTTGAGTTTGATTTCTATCTTTGTTCTCATTTCGGTGGAATGGGAACGAGTAAGCCGACTCATTACTCAGTGATTTGGGATGAGAACGGGTTTACATCCGATGAGATGCAAAAGTTGATATACCATTTGTGTTTTATCTTTGCGCGGTGTACGAAACCGGTATCGCTGGTTCCGCCGGTGTATTACGCGGATCTTGTGGCGTATCGCGGTCGGATGTTTCAAGAGGTGGCGGCGGAATCGGAATCGGAATCGGGAATGGGGGGTTCAGAATCGTCTTCGTTTGATCGGTTTTTCTATAATCTTGAGGATCATCTTAGGGATTCTATGTTTTTTATATAGGGATGTTGAAGGGGCGATACTTGTGGAGGTCAAATGTCCTTTTCTAAACTGAAATAGTGAAGGGAGTTTGTGCGCGAATCTAATGCGTTTCATGCCTTTTCAGTGTTGTTTCTTTATATTATATTGTTGACAATTAGGATTAGTGATTGCAAGTAAACCGTTATCACTTTCTAACGATTATTGTTGGTTATTTGCTTCTATTAATCACAGATTGACCGTTGTGTTATGTGTTTCTTTTTTGGTGATTTTCTTGTTTTGTGAAGAAGCGAAAAATAAAATGTTATATCTAGGTTCAGAGGTGCACATAAAACCAGATAATATGAAACCGGTTTCTATTTATAGAGTTCGGTTTTAACCGATTCGGATTTCATATTTTAGGGAAAAATCAGATTGGGTAACGAGCTGGATTCGGAAAATCAGATTTCTACCTAAGGCTAGTTCTAAATCAGTTAAACTGTTGCATCATTTTTTTTATCGAAATTGATTTGAATCTCTAATCTGATCCGATATTGGGAAACCAGTTTGGACAGGAACGCTGAAAATCCTATCCAGTAGGACTGTAAACGAATTGAACGTTTGTGAATCGTTCGGCAGGAAGTTCGTTTATGTTCGTTTATTTAATAAACGAACGAACATGAACACAAATTATCGTTCGTTTAGTTAAACGAACGAACATGAAAAATGGTCTCGTTCATTCAATTATGTTCGTGAACGTTCGTTTATGTTTTTCGTTTACATTTGTTCATATAATTTCATTTTATGTTCACATATGCTTAATTGTGTTTGATTTCATTAGTGTATTATATGTTCATTTATGTTCATATATATCTTCAATTATGTTTTTTTTTATCTTTGTTCATTTATGTTCGTTTAGCATGTTCACGAACATAAACGAACGAACATGAACAATGTAATTTGTTAAACGAACGAACATGAACAAGGAAACTCGTTCGTTTATCTGTTCGTGTTCGTTTATTTGTTCGGCTAACTTAAACGAACGAACATGAACAAGCCCCGTTCGTGTTCGTTCGGTTCGTTTACAGCCCTACTATCCAGTAGTGGGGCAAAAGAGTAATAGAGTTAGGCAGTTAGCTGAAAATTCTATCCAGTAGTGGGGGCAAAATAGTAATAGGGTTAGTAGCTCAATAACTTATAAAAAATGATGTTTGATAAAACTATTAACTAGTTATATGAAATATGTAAAATGACAAAAGGGCACGAAAAATATTAAGATTTTTATAATTAATAAACGGTATATTTGGAAAAATGAATAAATTAATAAGTTCGGTGAAACGTTGGTTTGAATATATATATTTTTAAAACTATCTTATAAACTAAAAGAGTGTTTGGATAGGAAAAAAAGAGGAAACTTATAGCTTATTGCTTATCCCTACCGTTATAAGCTAAGTTTAAGTGTTTGGATAGGAAACACTAAAAAATCAGCTTATTGCGGTGGGGATAAGCTAAATAAGCTGATTTTAAAAAGCATTCCCCCCTTGTTTATAGCTTATTGTTTATTTCTAATCCAAACACTTTGCAAAAGCTGCTTTCTCTCACCGCTAATAAGCTAATAAACAATAAGTTAATAAACTATAAGCTAATTTATCCAAACACCCTCTAAATTTTAGTTTGTCAAACTTGACAACCTAAACATATTCAGAAAATAAGTCAACTGTATCGTGCCTGTAACACCTCAAATTTTAGACTAAAATTTTCAATTTTTTTAAACTTCCAAAAAAGAGTTTTACAAGCAGATCGAATGCAAATCATTTTAAAACACAAGTGTCATAGTTATCAGAGTACAGAAGATCATGTCCCAATAATAAATTCCCAGTGCGTGTGTACAATTAGACTTTCGCCTTCCCGCAATCCTGTGAAGTACCTGTCACATACAAATCAACAACGGTAAACACAAAGTTTAGTGAGTTCCCCAAGATACCACACACACATTACATAAAATAAACAATTATGGGTTATCAACAACCCTAAGACTATCAACAGTCCCGATGAGCTAACAGCATGCTCGGGAGGTTATCCGCAAACCCCAGTTGGCTAACAGCAGCCCCAACACGACAATCATTAAATCAGCACATAACATTGCATAACATAACATAATAGCTAGACCCAGCTGGTCATAATATTACAGTTATCCTACCATACACGTAAGAGTAAGCGAGGAGACTCACCTGATAATGATGACAAGAAAACCTAGCACCCGAACTGTCGGATCTAGACTCCGCCTATTCAACCAATAAATTACCCTTAATTAATAATTAAGGCCCATAACCATATCACGAGTCCAAGTCCACAGCTAAGCCCACTAAGGGCAAAAAGGACCATTTTGCCCCTCCCTAGTTCCAACCCTAAACTTTAACCTAAAGTAAAAACCAACAAAAGTCAACCAAAGTCAATACCCAGCGAGTACGCTTGGCGTACAACTCCCTACGATATGCGTACTGCTGGCTATGCATGCGACAGGGGATTTCAGATCTACGATGTGCGTAGCTGGGAGTACGCATGACGTACTCCTCGGACTTCCATTTCTTGCTTCTTTTGGTCTTAATCCATCAAGACTAATACTCCAACTACAGATCTGAGCTAATCAAAGTCTCTTAATCCATAAAGTCGTGGACTTTAAGCCTTTGCATGGCTAGGAAAGGCTAGAGCAACATTTCATTCATTCCAAGGTGCTTTACTCATGCATGGAGTCAAAGGAAGGATCAAGCAACCATTTTTTATTGATCTAGGAGCCCAAAAATGCATAAAAGGACAACCTAAACTCTCTAAAGAGTCTTAACTTCGAAAAGATCCAAAGTTTGGGGACTTAAACTAAAAAACCTAACACTAGATAGTTCTTGAAGAACAATAGCCAAGGTATACACTTTATACCTGAAAATGATGCACCAAGATGGGTGGTTTCTGGATCTCTAAGCTGGATGGTACCTTCTTCTTCTTCTTCTTCTAACTTCCTTCTTTAACTCATTTCTGATATGTTACAATTCTCCCTCACTAGAATCAGACTTCGCCCTCGAAGTCATCCTCCGAAAACAACTCAGGATACTGCTCACGCATCTCGGACTCCGGTTCCCATGTCCACTCCGAACCTCTACAATGCTGCCACTGGACTTTGACCAAGTTCACGACATTGTTCCTCAAGGTTTTTGTTGGATTAGGTGTCTAAACCCATAACTATAATTGGTATAAACTTGAATTGATTGTAGCACAGTCCTTTTGGGTTACCTTCAAACTTGGCAATTGAATAGGATAACTGTTAGAGAGAGAAAAATGGTGTATTAATTTATTACTTTGTTAATAAATTAATTAGAAATCAAAATAAATGATTTATTAATGTATTATTGATATAATATATTAATTACAAATCATATTGTTTAATTAATATTTAATCATAAATTAATTTGGAATTAATTTTGGATTAAATGAATTAATTAAACTACAGGGACTAAAGGTGACAATGTTCAATATTTGAGCATTGGACAATTCTAGAACCTCCCTAAAGAGGGGGGGGGGGAACAAATTCTAGATGCTCCTAGGGTTTCCTTGGGCTCTAAGGGTGCCTTGGATGCCTTAGGGAGGAAGTTAAGGGATTAGGGTTATATTGGATACACCTGCCTTATCCAATACCTTCCTAACACCTATATAAACCCTCCTAAGGGTTAAATTTCGGAGATGACTCCTCTAAGAGGCTAAGGGCCGGAATTTCTATTCTATTACTCTCTCTATAGTATTCCTTGGTTGCTTGAGTTTGTTTGTGAACCATTAGAGGCGCGACACTTGTGGCGCTTGCTACCAAAGGTCTTTCAAGCAATGAAAGACCCTGAACTTTCTAAACTTTTGTATTTCTGAAAGACCCAAACTTTCATACTTGACAATTGTTACTCCAAAACATGTTACATGCATATTCATAAAAAAACAATATTTTACATTGATAAAGTGATTACAAACTACTGGATACAACCGACTATTACAAAGTGTTATATATTACACAACTACCCAGGATACTATACATTTATACATACATGATCCCTAAATACAAAAGTAATATTATAACTATTCTAAACCTTCCAACAGTATATGACTATACTGGTTACTTATCTCTTGCAATTGTTAAACATTGAGAGGGGTAAGCGGTGACGCTTAGTGAGTTCAATAATAGATACAATATAACGTTATGCCATATATATACTTCAATATGGCAGAAGCAAAGAGGAACAAAGAACAACAAAGGCATATGCGAATCATGTAACAAGCTTTCCATATCAAATCAATGAGACATAACAATTTCAATACTTGATATACATCAATAACGCTTCGGCCCAAATGACACAGAAGACATACAATTTCTGATTAAAACATTTTGGTAGATTTCAGGCTTTCAGACCTGTCTAACCTTCTGCCAATGCCATAGAATAGAAGTCATTCTCTTACGAGACATGCTCTACATGGCCAGAGGCTACATACCAGTACCACCGTGAATCTAAGTCCTTTCACTGATCACATGGTCAAAGGTACAACTTTGCTACCACAATAGCGAAAATAATAACACGAGATGATAACACGGAAAAACACATAGTACATATAACACATAACATACAATTGTTCCTATATATTGAACTCACCGTGAAATAACTGGGGATTAATTTGGGCAACACTTCGGCTCTAAATATGACTTTCTGCGATGAAACCGGGGATTTTAGTTGAAAACCGGCCTTACACGGGCAGAGTTTCGACTTGAAAATATAATTTTCTCGGGAACTTCGGAGCGTCGGCACTTGCTTCGGGTGTCGGGAATGATACCGGGACTTCGGAGGGTGTTAGAGGGGCTTGAGAGAGGCTAGAGAGTGAATGAGAGTGAGAATTTGTAACATAAACCCGGAGGGCTCGATTTCTATTTATAGGCTGAAAAATCGACTCTCACGTCGTGAACCATGTATGTTCACGTCGTGACTTTGATCCTGGTCATCCCCTAGGCTTTCCGTGTGTCTTCTAGGCTCGAAACGCGTCGTTCACTGAGTTCACGTCATGAACACTGTGTTCACGTCGTGAATGCAGTCAAATTCTCGAAGTTTGTGCTCTGAACTTCAAAAATCCATATCTTTTGCATACGAGCTCC